TATACGCTCATTGTATGAAAATTCGCTTACTCCTACCCCCTACCCCAGAATAGCTTGGATAAGATATGATATGCAAAACAAGGAGAAAACAACTGCCACTCAAGCGATTGTTTCATTCTTTAGTTTACTTGCTTCATGGTATGTGAGCTACCACTACATCGATGCCTAGCGATTCCAATACCACTTTAGGCAGTGTTTCTGTCCAAAACCGTTGAACAAGATGAGAATCTCATATCATTCACCTATCACTTCAGAGTGCCTAGGTACCAGTTCTTTGATGATCTTCACGATGATCAAAATTGTTATTTGCAGGCGTTTGCCACTGCGTTCGGATGCATCTTCAAAAATGTTTGTGCGAAAGTCTCCCCTCTGTTGTCATGTCCGAGTTTTTGTTTAGACCTGCTGAATTGGAGGCTATGTATGGTCAATATCCTCCATTATTGGTCCAGTACCCTGGAACTTCTTTGGCAAACCGAGTTGTCGATCCGAACTGTAAGTAATGTGCTGACTGTCCAGGCAATCCAAAGAAGATCAGTGCAACATCACCTACTCTTCAAAACATTGGTTCTAACGCTTGTGACAGCGCTCGCCTGTATCAGTCGTCTCACTGACTCGATAAACAGCACTAGGGTTGTCCGTTTAGATTCTTCTAAATAGTTTCAGGTGATTCAATGCGCCTGGTTAGGTTTTTTAGTGCAAGTCCCTAGCACGAAATGAGAAGGTCGCTACCAATTAATCCGAGAATCACGTTTACAATTCTATCGTACAAGCCGCTGTAGGATCACTTATCCCTAATTTTTACCATTATTGCACCAAACTAGGTGCCGCACTTACGTACATGCCGATAGTATTGCTATCTTTGGACATTTATTTTAGTTGATTATCTTGACCCTGTGTGGATGGCGCATTGCGACGAAATTTTGCGTAGATCCGAATTATTTAATGAACGACTGCGAGATCGCTACGGTATAGAGCCAGATGATGTGGATGTCGAAGAAGACGAAGATATGAGACCTAGATTTCTGAGAACCTCCGATACGTTAGTAAAGTCAGACGGTTTGCAAGTGTGTCTATATGTGTGTTCAGCTCGGGAAGCGATGTTGATGAAGATGTTGACGAAACAGGGCAACTACGAAAAGGTAAAACTTTGCCGATAGTCTAAGTAAATTCTATAAGAATTTTGTTAAGGATTTCGACGCGTCCCTTATACTCCTTTCCCTGGTAAAGCAGATCGCACAACTCGTGATACAGCTAAAATGATTATAAAAACTCTTGCCAATCCGGTTAGTCAAAGATTTTTATAAATCGACTGGTTGACTACCAAATCAACTGTAGCATGCTGGAAACGAAGCTAAATATCGCGTTACTTCAACGATCTCGTCGATCGCAGG